CTCTACTGGACTGGTTCCTAAACCAGACATTTGTCCCAGTGGGTTATCTATCTACCTAGGGAAAACTGGATATGGGATTTCAAATTTACTTTTTTTTTTTTTTTTTTTAAATTACCTTTTGAAATTTTTTGGAAGAAGGAAAAAGTAAATATCCTGGAGGAAATATACTCAGTTGGTACCAAGAAACAGCTATATAATAAAGTTTTCACTGATGCAGTTCCTTACATGTCAATGAGAAGGTCAAGTGACCACGACTTTAAAACAAATCCGTAATGACAATTAATATTAACTCACTTGTTCTTTGGTCTGGGCTTTCTGCACGTAGTCTCGGCCGACCTTGATCCGGGGGGTAAGTATAGCCCGAGTAAACTCCATCACATTCATCCCAAGAAGGTGGCAGAGTTTCTGTGCAACTAAAGTTTTTTTAAAAGTCTGTCAGTCCCCTAAACATCAGGCTTCTACTTGTGATCTCAAACCAAGCTCACTGCCATGAGTTGGATCTGACTCATAGTGACCCCTCCTTGGGTTTCCGAGGTAGTATCACTACAGAAGTAGATTGCCCGATCTTCCTTCCGAGGAGTGGCTGGTGAGTTTGAACCGCCAGCCTTCTGGTTGGCAGTCAAACGTCTTAGGCACTATGCCACCAGATCTAGTCATCATACACTCAATAGACACTTTGAAAAACTTTAGTAATCATTCAATTGTATTAAGAAACAAACCAAATAAATGTGTCTCAAGTTAGACAAGTTTTAGGTCTGATGAAAAATACCTTTATCCTTTTAAAGAAGATACTCATCCTTAGGTGATGAGAGCTGGTCAGTCAGCATCTACTCATTCTGGAGAGTTTAATGAGTCTTAGAACCCAAAGATAATGGGCAGAACGAGAAAAATGATCTTCAAATTGTTTAAATCATAAAATGAGTTCCCCAAAATCTCAGCACATAGATGAACCTGGGGAACATTATGTTGAGTGAAATAAATCAATACCAAAAAAACAAAACAAATATTGTATGTACTCACCCTCTACAGACAAATATATAGAAATTAATACACATCAGGGGTTACCATGGATTGGGGGTATGAGAGGAGATTCAGTCTTTAGAAAGTAAACACTTGTTATTTTGGGGGATGAGAAAAGTAGCACTGAATGAGGGTGAAGTGTGCACAGCTTAACAAAGGTAAACAATGTCACTAAAATGTACACAAGAAGAAAGCACGTTTTGATAACTGCTGTGGTGTATATAATTTTGATATAACAATAACCAAAAAATACGTGTGCGTATATATGTATGTAAACATATACGTATATAGGCGTGTATACGTGAGTATACGTGTGTGTGTGGGTATATATAGGTGCATGCATATGTATATGTATGTATGTGATTGTATGCACATAAAGGCAAGGTAACCATTGCCGTGGAGTTGGATCTGACCCATAGCGACCCCTCCTTGGGTTTCTGAGGTGGTATCACTATGGAAGTAGATTGCCCAACCTTCCTTCTGGGGAGTGGCTGGTGGGTTTGAACCATCAGCCTTCTGGTCAGCAGTCAAGCGCCTTAGGCACTACGCTACCAGAGCTCCCTGTATGCACATATATTCCTATATAAAGTAAAGTACACAGGGGGGCGCAATTATTGATATTTCACTGACATAGGCAAACACCTCCAGGGATTGATTTCCTGGGTTTGAGGGATTAGGAACATAGCCTCGTGGGACATCTAGGTCACCATAGTTCATACAGGTCATGTTCTACATTCTCGTGGGTAAGTAGTGCCTGGGGTCTTAAAGTTTGTGGGCAGCCATCAAAGATGCAACTATTGGTCTCTATTCATGTGGAGGAAAACAGAAAGGAGGAGAGGAAAAATTCAGAGAGGAAAGTAGGCTTTAGGACTAATAATCTAATCTACATAATCCACAACCTCATCCACCTTGAGGCCTGAAGAACTAAGTGGTGGCTGGCTACCACTACCAACTATTCTGATCAGGGCCACAATAGATGGCATATTGAAGATACAAAGAAATAGAAAATGCAAATAACCCACATTCCATTGCTTTTTATCCTGATGAACATCATTTTAAAACCAAAACAAAAAACCAAACTCACTGCTGTATCCAACTCAGAGACCCCTTCTTGGGTTTCCAAGGCAGTATCCCTACAGAAGTAGATTGCCTAATCTTCCTTCTGAGGACTGGCTGGTGGGTTTGAACCACCAGCCTTCTAGTTAGCAGTCAAATGCCTTAGGCACTACACCACCAGAGCTAGCTAAAAAGTACTTCTATCTTGCTTTAATTCACTCTATTGGATATTGTAAGGCAGTAGTAGACTTACAATAAGGAACCCAAGTCCTAACAGTTAACACTTGGCCACTAATTGAAAAGTTACTACTTTAAATTCACCCAGTGGCTCCTTGGGACAAAGGCCTAGCAATCTGCTCCCATAAAGACTAAAGCCCAGAAAACCCCAAGGTCACTATGAGTCTAAACAGACTTAACAGCACCTAACAACAACCACCTTGCAAAGGAAAACACTGGCAGATACTACCTAAACCAAGTGATCAAAGTCAGTATCATCAATAATGGGGCAAACTCACATCACTACACTCCTGATACGATGTACCAAGAAGGATACAACATCGCTTCTGTGAGATTCTTACCAAAAACTTATAACCCAAATTTAACCAGGAGGTAACATAAGACAAATCCAAATTAAGGGGCATCTTACAAAACTATTGTTCAGTATTATTCAAATGTGTCAAGGCCAAGAAAGACTTGAGGAACTGGTCCACCTGAAAGGAAACTAAGGAGCCATCAAAGCTAAACACAAGTGTTGTATGTGATTCTGGACCAGAAAGAGGACATTGGAGCTGACAAAATGTGAACATCTACAGAACAGACAATGGACTAGGTGCCATAGAGTCAGTTTTGGTTCATGACACTCCGCATGCGTCAGACAAAAAAAAAAAAAACTGCCAAACACACTGCCATTGAGTCATATCTGACTCATAGCAACCCCTCCTTGGGTTTCCAAGACAGTACCTCTACCAGTCTTCCTTCTGAGGAGTGGCTGGTGGGTTTGAACCGCAGCCTTCTGGTTAGCAGTCAAGTGCCTTAGGCACTATGCTACCAGAGCTCC